TGTCATACAGAGGAGTAATTATGCATGCTAAAACACACGTGTAGACAATGATGGGAACTGGCTGGGCCATGAGGATGCTGAAGTGTGGGGGTTGCCTGCTGCCTCATACTGCATTTTATTACCCTCATGCCCCAGCCAGCCCTTCTGCCACCTAATGCCCAGGGGTGACTCCACTCCCCCAACCTGCTACCAACCTGGGGCTGCTCCACCCAGAACCAAAGTGTTGCGGTCCCAGATGCATGTGCAGACATTGTGCTCGAGAGCAGCTGACTCTGGCTCAAACGGTGACAGAGAATATTTCCTCACTGTAACAGCACATGTAGGTGCACCCAGTGAAAGCAAAATTTATGTAAGACCAATTTGTGTTTTGTATTTAGATTTTGCACTGCCTTAACTAGATTGATTTGTAAGCAGATTTTAACTAAATTGGTGACCTTTTTAACTGTATACTAGGCCTTAGCAAAGGAACGTGTAATGTTATGGCAGTGCTTCCTTTCAGTAAGCTAGACAGCAGTGTGCTTGGCTCCAATTATGGAAACTCTTGGCAAAAACAAACTGTGACTCAGCCAATGCATCCACAAGATTTTAATTAGTAAGGTTTTATTTGGGATGTGGGTAGGTGATAAGGCCATATACCCTGCATCTTGTCTCTTGTCTAGATATTTTATATGGTCCAGAGGGAGGGGCCGGTACAGATATGCATTTTTAGAATCTGTTGAGTGAAATGAGATGGAAAGGATTTGGTGTATTTTTTTAAAGTAAAAGTTTGAGGGATCTGCTTGCAGTATCTGCTCAAGCCAGAAAATGAAATACTAGGTAGGACACTAGGTAAGACACTTTTTGTCTAATTCTCTGCAATAGATATTGTCCTCCCTGTGTTCCTGCCTGTCACAGCACTCATTGTAGTGGTTTTGCCTTAGTCTGAAAAAGAGAGGATTTGTTTAAAAAGACTTTTTAGGAAACAGAGATTCTATTTACAGGCACTTTAGTGGGTAAAAATATAGCTGACTTGGGTGTGATCAGGATTTTTACTTCTGTTCTCTTTTGTATGTGAAGCAGTGAAGTCTGTCTACCTCTCACCAAGCCTCTATTTTGGTTAAATATGTGCTTTTCCGGATAGAATCTTAACTACCCCTATCTTTGGTTTGGCTTTTCCCTTTCCAAGATGCCTTGAGCAAATGAATAACAGATACAATCAGTGGAATTGTTCAGGTATGAATTATTTTTCTAGCACTTTCCTGGTGATGGCAGTTTCATAGAAATTAATTCCAGTAAGGGCCATTAGATCATGTGGTCTTACTCCTCCATATTTCTGTATTCATTCCTGCTTTAGAATATCCAAGGCTAGGACTTTTAGTTGAAGTAACAGAGAGGCAATTGATGCCATTTGTATCTTGTCACAAAACTATAGACCACAATTAACTGTCTAATCCTGTAAAAGGAAAGATGCAATTTAAAACCTCTGTTTCTCTGTTTGAATCCAAGCCCCCTACCCTCTTAACTGAGACCAGCACAACCAAATCAGTAAATAGCTGCACAAGCCGTGGCCAAGTGTCTCTCACCTGTCCCCTCATGACTGAGGCTGAGATGCTCCTGCCCCACGTGGCTGATGGAGTTGCTCCATTGGACCAAGCAGAAAAGATGTCTGTGGTGACCAGCCCTGTCGACGACCCATGGGAAGGAAAGGGAAGGCTTGGAAGTTTGGTCCATAATTTCTGTGCCTTTAGTTTTCATTTTTACAGATTAGGATAACAGTGCCTCCTTACTTCTCATGAAGTGCTTTGAATTAATTTTGTGAGGCATTCAAATGTTATGGTGCTGGACAATGATGTCATGATGAGTGATGTACAGTATTTCATGCTCAGTGTAGCATTTTGGTATTGTACCATAAATTAAGGTATGGGAGACGTTAAAGGCTGAGGAGGAAAAAGAAATACTGAACTAGATGCCTCATTCACTGTCCTCTGTGCAATTTGTGCAGTGACTGAGGCAGGGCTTTTCTGTGGAAAAGCTGGTATGCTTTCTTGCAGTTGTGTAACATAAATAGGGACCTACCAAACTTGCGGGGTGAAAGCAATTTCCATGGCTCAGTTGTGGCCCAAAGCTGATTTTTCTTCCTTTTTTTTACAGTCCTTTTGTGGCAGCAGCCCCACCCCTCAGTGCTGATTGACAGGGAGCCCCTGGGAGGAGGAGAAGGAATGAGTGGGCTGCCACCATCTTGACTGCTGGCTGCCCTTTGTGCAGCCCCACCCCTTGGTGCTGATTGGCAGAGAGGGAGGTGGGGGCAGCTGCCATCTTACCTGCTGCCCTTTGCCACCCCACTGCCTGGTGCCTCCCCCTCCCAGGCAGGCTGCAAGGCCAGACTGCAGCAGCAGCAAGGACCACTGGTGCCCCCTGAGGAGAGACCACTTTATTTGTATTAAGTTGTTGTTTTGTTTTTTGGGAGGGATGTGGGGGGGTGTTGGTTGATCTTCTGGGAAATCGCAGCCAGTGCCACTTTTTACAGAGAATGCTGTTTTTCATGGTTTCCGCAAAAATTGCAAAACTGTGATTTTAAGTAGGTTCCTAACATAAATCATCAGCACAAGGAGCAGATGAATTCCAGTATTTTTCTAACTTTGGGCACTCAGTTTTGCCAACAGAACTGTCTGCTAACATTTCTGCAAATTTATTTGTAGAATAAAAGTGTTCTTGGATCTGGAAAACACAGATCTGGTTTGTGCCTGTAGAAACTTGCAGTTTTAAATAGGTGATTGCAGGGCCTAAAGTGACAGTATTTTCGGTAAATGGCTGGAAAGGAAGGAGTATAAGGTGTTGTCTAAAACGTTTTAATGGAGGACCTTGGCAAAAATTCTGTTTTTGTTGCACTGCTGATGAAAGTTCCCTTTCAAGCTGTTAACTTATTGGGTGAGAATCAAGATTGCCCTGGATGCTCTGGTGACTATCTGTATAAAGCAGATTTTTTTTATTCCAGTTGAGAACAGAATTTGAATTAGCAGTTGGTTTCACTTTGTGGTGCTGGTAAACATGAAGAGTATCATTATAAATTGTAACCTATCCATGGTGAACAGTTCATCCCTGTTTTATTGCAATACTGAATTACTGTAAGTGTATTGCTGTGGTGCAGAGAGGCCCCAAATGAGATGATGGTTCTGCTGTACACGTTGGTAGTCTTTTTCTGAGCAGCACCAGAACAAGCACGTGATGGGTGCCGAAATCTTGTTATAACATAAACTTCAGCACGTTGACTTCGTTGCATAGGTTAAAATTAGAACTGTTCAAGAAGACATTTTTCATCTATACACATTTATGATAAAACATGAAACTTCTGCATCTTCGCTATTCAGCTAGAGTGATAGATCTCTGATTTATTTTTTTTAAATAAAATGTAGTCCCACATTTATGAACACTGAGAGAAGTATAAATTTAAATTCCATGTTTCCGTGAAGTACCTGTAATCTTGCTTGTATGGTCGATTATTTTTTTTAAAGTATCTTGTAAATCTGTTTTATATTTTTCATATAATTTATTGACTTGATACACTAATCAAGTACTTACACAGGTGATAACATATTAAAGTATATGTTGAGCCAATTTAAATATTATGTTCTGAATAGCAGACCAAGCTTTCTGTGTTGAAAATTATCTGCTGGTTAAGCATGCTAATTAATACGGGTACCCAGTTGCAGGTCACATCTTTGCCCTCCCTTTGCTCTGGAAGTCAGGAGTGGTACGAGAATCTCATGCACTTTTGGAGTAGTTTGTCAAAACCCAGGATCATTGGCCGTCTTGTTCTTGTTTGTGTTTTGCCAGGGATTGTAAATGTTCATTTTGCGTGAGAATCTTGCTACTCTGCCCCCCATCTTTGTTGCCTCAGAGCAGGATTAAAGCAGTGTGCACTATTTGGATTACCCCTTAGATTAGTGATTCTTAACGAGGGTGCCGTGGCATCCTCAGGTTCCTTGAGATCCTTTCACGGATGCTGTGGGGTGCCACACAATTTAGCACTGTTAGATTTACAAACATGATTTACAAGATAAACCAAGACATTTCAAATAGAAATCCATAGTTGTGGCCTTCCTGAGCTCGTTGCTGTAGGAAAAAAAATGTTCTTTATTTTCCTGCAGGCAAAAAAAGGAGTGAAAACTAAGACCTGGCATTTTCCAAGGGGTGCCTCAAGCCTCAAAAGGTTGAGAACTACTACCTTAGATCCATATGGAAACAAACTGCATCAGACCCTGCCTAAATGGTGCCTCACGGTGACACCATATGTTATCAATGCTCTGTGGGGGGTTTTTGGGTTTTGTGTTTTTTGCACTGCCTGCTCCTGGTTTTGATCTATGAATCTGTGAGCACCTTGGCTTCCTGGCCACTGTAGTGCTTTGCACATGGCCTTGATTTTGATCTACCTGTTGAGGGAAGGGGCAGACCGCCTCTGGAGAGTCCTCTTCTCAAAATACATCTGTCCTTTGGAATACATCTGCCCACTGATCAGGATGCTGCAAGGCCTGTCTGAGTAGGCGTTAACAGAGTGCTCAGGTAGTTTAGTATAGGATGTGTATATTGGGGAACTGCCAAAGGTCTCCTGGGTTTTAAAGCTGCACCAGTCACATAATTCATGGTGAAATGATGCGTGATAAAGTAGAAGCAAGAAATATAGCTATTTTGGTCAGTTCTTACTTTGTATCTCCTTTGTTCTTCGTTTTTGTATGTTAGTCATGGGTCCTGGCAGCCCTGGAGAGACACTCTTGCATGTATACCTTGTGTAAAACCTGAATCTAGACAAATGATAAATTATGACGCTTATTTTCTGTATTGACTTGAGAAAATACTGAGGTAGTTTTATGATAAATTCAGAACTCCTCCTTTTTAATTTGTATTTTTTCCGACCTTCAGAAGGCCTTTTTCTGTCCCATATAGTCACCACTCCTTGCACAGGAGAATATTTAAATCTCTTTAATTGATTTTTTTTTTTTTTCATAAATGCATTTGCTTTGCAGGAGTTGTCCATCCATCATGTTGCATCACCAGTGGTGGCTGAGCTGAGATTCCTGCATCTTGGGGAGAGCATGTATAAAAGGGATGGCCTCATGGCCAATGTGACGGTGACCTCCGCCACTCCAGAGGTACAAGAACATGTTTATTTTCATTATTAGCTGCTACTTCAGAACAGAAGCTGTAGCTTATTTTGACTTCCATAGAAATCTTTTCTGCCAGATTCATGTCTTAGGAAGGGGATGGTTTGTGACAGCAAACTTAGCTTGGATGCTATAATTCTGAACATTCACAACCCATCCAGAATTATTTTTTCCATGCTTTTCACAGTTGTTATAACATGCAGATAGATCTAAAGTGGTCTTTGTTTATTTGCTGAAGTCCTTTACTTCAACTCAAAATAAAAGCTACACAGCCCAAATAAGGGAATGCTAAGTCCCATCCAAACAGTTGGTTGGAAAAAATAATGACTACATTTTCAGTGGAATTTGTCAATTCATCTAAAACAATATATTGTGTAGACATGGTTTGATTTTGATTCAGTTTTTCTAGAAGCCAAGTGGACTTGTCATGCAACTTGCAATAATTGTCCAGTTTCCTGCTAGATCATCTAGCTTGGGCTCCCAGCTCCAGTGCAGCCAGGACTTCCAGGGTGTGTAGCTCTAGGCAGACTGCCCTGGAATTTGAGACCTTGGGCTTCTTTCCCTTTCATGGAGACTATTGAACATTTGAGTTTTGTGCTGAACCAAAAGAGCAGTAAATTTCAAAACACTAGATGTGTTTTGAGCATCTGAAAATTAAAACGTAAGCTTTGAGAAATTATTCTGGTTTTAGGCCCTTTTCCTGTCAAAAACACTTTGATTTAAAAACTTTGAATCAGTTTTACAAGTTGAAAAGCAAAGCTTTTAAAACCAGCTGGTCCTCTTAGCCAAGTATAAAATCTTTTAAATAGCAGTGGCTCCTTTTATACACAATTTAATCTTAATCAGAGAAGAGAAACACTTTAAGATCTTGGTCTCCATGATTCTATCCAGCTGGTTAAGGAGTGAACTGAATGGCTTCAAAGGGGCTTTTTCTTTTAAAAAAAAAAAAAAAAAAAATCCACCAAGATAAGATGCAAAAGATCACTGGGCTGAAGCCTGTGGACACTAACAAAATCCATTTTTTATGCTTCCAGGAAAGAACTTTAAAAAGTATTGGTCAAAACACAATTTTATATTGCTGTTCTAAATAGTCAAAAAAAGCTTCCCTGTAAAACGCTGTAGAATGGGAATAATCGTAATAAATCTTGGTTTTGGATCTAATGAAACAAAATGTATACATGGCTCTAGGATTATGTCATCATTTTATTTTCTTCAGTTTGTAATCATTAAGCTAGCATGTCCAGAATAATCATGAGATTCAGAATTCTTATTTTTAGGACAAATTTTAATTTATTAGAAGTTAGAAATGAATTGATTATCTTACCTTTTTAAATTTAAGCTTTTCAAGATAGATTGTGTGGTAAAACGGTGAAGCTAATGCATGTTTTTCCACATAGAGTTCCCTGCTCTGTGCAAAATGGAACAGAACCTTAAGTGTGTCATCACAATCACTGTATCATAGTGCCTTGAGAATAATCATGCCCTCGCTTCGGGGAGTGAAGTGATAGGTCTCTTGCATTTCTTAAGATGTAATTTTGTAAACTCAGTGACCCACTGTATCTGGTTATACTGTTTCCCTTTTGTTTTCTTGGAATGACCTCATAGTTTTCATTTTCTTCGAAATGGCTGAAGAAAGGCAGGTTTTTTTAGAGCTTGCTATAATTATGAATGTCTGTCATACCCTCTGGTAATTACTTCAACCTTTAAGAGAAACACAGCAGTGAGCTGCTTAATATTATCATGTTAAAGGCCCTACAAAATATCCAAAATTCACATGCCAGAAATCAGACTCAAGAGTTCATCCTCAAAGGAACATGCTGCAATTATATTAACTTGAATTTCATAGTAGTAATTATGCTGCTTTGTCACATTTTATAAACTGAACTGCTTTCATTCAGGGCTATTAAGTTCCTTTTCTTCCAACAGTAGGGCAGGCTCTAAAAGGTATGCAATTTCTGGCCTTTATTCAATGATACAGTTATGAGATGGAGGCTTTCCAGTGCCATTTCCTTGTCTGGATCCTCAGATACTTCACACATTTGGGTTATTGATACCATTAGGTTTGGAATCTTAAAGGAGGGTGTAGTTATATTTTATAGTCCGCCCTTCCCACAAAAGGCTCAGGGCAACTTGCAGTAAAAAACAAACTAACTTTAAAAAGCAGATAAAATATTAAATAAGATGGGGACTTTCTTCTGTTATCTCAGTGTCAGTTATGGAGTCCAAAGTGTGTACTCTTCTGCTATCTTCAAAAAGAAAAGGCAGTAGGCAGCTTTAGAGATCTTTTGAAAGAAACCACTTATTTTTCTACAGATGCACATCTCTTGAAGTCTTTGCGTTTTCCCAATCCAAGCTAATTAAGCTTCAGAAAACACAGGCCAGATTCTTGGACTGCATCTACATTTGGAAGAAAATTGAAAGCATAATTCATCACCAGTGCGGTTACATGAATGGTAGCAACAGTAGAAACAGTTGCATACACAAGACTTGGACTTTTTTTTTTTAAACAAAACTTTTGCTACTGTTGGCAGATTTTTATTTTTTTTTTCTTTTAAGCAGAAAA